AGACAGACATTCCTGTTAACGAGGTTAGCCCAGAATCTTCACCTCTTTCTTCTGGGCAGCAACATTTTTAATGACAAACCCACAACCGTATTGTTCACGAGCATGTCGCACACTTTGGGATTGCTGAAAATGAATTCATCGTGTTCGTGGTATCTCATCTGCAAGCAGTTCAGTGTTTTTGTATGGTTTTAATATTCTGTTTTGTTTGTTTTCCTACTGCAGTAGGCTAATAGACGAGGGTTGTCTGAAAAGTAACTAGAAATGTAAGTTACAAGGGTTCAAACACCAAGATTGTCATCGGCATGTTGGTGAGGGCTTTTGAGTTCGATGAACAGCCAAGATATATGACTGATGTCGTGAGGTCAACTTGAGGCTACTATACATTACGTGGGTGCAGGTCGTCAAAATGGCAACGAACTTGAAACGTGGTCTCGCATAGAGATATTGGATTGTAATCCATTTTTTGTGGGGAAAAAGTTTGCTGGCTGCAGAAATTCATCCGGAATTCATTGCAGTTTACGTACAGAATGTCATGTCTCGTCAAAAAGTGGCGGAATGGTGGGACTTTCAATTCGATAAGGAGGAGTCATCGTACCGTGGTAATTAGTCTTCGCCGGAATGAAGTTAGTCAAGAGTCAAGAGTCAAGAGAGTTAGTGATATCAAGAGGCGATTTCGCCCATTTCGATATCACGTGTCGAGGTCGAGCGTTCCTTAATTTTAGGGTAGGCCTAACCCTCTTAAAGCTAAATTTTTTTTTTTTACTATCCTAGTTACTTACTGTCTAGTACCTAACGTCAACATTGCCCCCCACCTTCTTGACAGACTGTCTTCGGGTCAGGCCTAGGCCTACCTTTTTTTAGTCTAAGGAAACTCAATCCTCGGCCTACGGACCAATCAGGCCTGCACTGTTTTCGGATTGAATTGGTGGGTACCCTACTGTGGAGAACGGAGAAAACACAAGCTTTCCAGACGATCCTCAAGATGTCAAGCCTGATGCTCCACATGGTTGTTGGATGGTTCTATTAATACTTCACCTTCCATCCACAAGGTGTCACCAAGACACCTCGTTAAGGACGTGTAACGTTAGGCCAGTCCGGCCAATCGTAGGCCTTTTCAGTCTCTAATAGCGCATTTAATAGAGAACGTGTAACGCTAGACCAAATGTAGGTCTTTCACGAGTTTCATAAGCCATTTCGGTGCGGTCGGGGAACATTGGGCCTATCCAGAGTTCCTCGAATCGTCTCGACTCGTTCTGAGAAGATATACCTTTAGAACGCATGACCTAGAAGCTGGCCGCCATCATGTTAATTTAGGGATGTCAGAATGAGGGGCGTATTTCTTTGCTCTGCTGGGAGAGACAGAAGCAATCATGAAGATATTTTTTTGATAGCAGACCTCTCCGCAGAAGCACTGCTGCCTCTTCTAACTCTGGACTTGGTAGAGAACGGTGAGTACCATCATGGTGTTGCCCTTGTATTCAGGTATGATCCATTTTTTTCTCTGCTCTCCCTTGACGTGTGCGCATGCGCCCTGTCTTCCGGAGAGGTGCTGCAGAGAGCAAAGAAATACGCCCGAGATGTCTCCGTATTCCACCAAATCGATCGGACACTGCAAAACTAGGGTTGCCACCCGTTCATAATTAGTATGGACAGTTCATATTTCAGATGCAATCTCCATACTGCAAACTTGTCTTAATATGGACACCACTTCATCCATACTTTAAAATAGTAAAGATTTTTTAGTTAATAAAACTAAAATAAACTTAATAGCAGCTAAATCCACTGTTTTCTTCGAGCCAGAGTAGTATGCCTCACTCTTATAGCATCAATTGATACTTTGGCTAAAGGTGCCTGTAGGTATTTGCAGAACCACAAATGCAAGTATACTTCATATACAAGTATTTGTCCATATTTCCATACGTCCACAGACCATATGTCCATATTTTGCTAATTTCAAAGGTGGCAACCCTATGCAAAACACCGCTTCAATCTCAACCCATCCTATGAATTCAGCACATTAATGTCTCCTACATTAAAAAGAGAAGATCCAGACAACGATACTAAGGCTGATGAAGTCATGAATCTGGGATAACTAAGGCACGATATCCGGCAACACTGGAGGACAGGACTGGACCCATTACGCTAAGCCTTAATTAAGGGCATCTAATTTCATTTTTCATGGCGAAATGGTGCACTGAAACAAAAAAAGAGACTTTTGTCACCTCCAGGTCAATATCTTTCGTTTGGTTGGTCTCTTTCCTCAAAAAATGTCCCAGAAGCGGCTACCCAGGGGGGGAGAAGAAAAAAACGAAATAATAAATAACGAAAGAATAACGAAATTCACATCTCCCAAAAGCGAGATTCGGTGATGTCCACAACCCTAGGGAGATGGAGCTTCAAATTTTCTGGAATTATTCTGTTTTGAGAGAGGAATACTTATGCCAAGTTTAATTCACGTCAATGCTCTCAGAGAGGAACACGAGACAGTTGAATTTTTTCGCCGGAAGGGGTTGAAGAAAAGTAATGGGTGCTACTAAAGCCCATTGTACCTCGTAGACCTACCTTTCATAGATAGGTGGAAAGACATACAGGAAATCCGTTTATAACGGCAGCATTCCCAAATCCTTGTCCCCTCGATAATAGTGGAATGCATTTCGAAAAAAGATCTCATGATCGTATTGTGACGGATGAGGATGGCATCGAGGCACACAACTGAATGTACCAGGTTCGGTGGTGCATTGGTAGCACACCTGACCGGCGATCAGGAGGCCCGCGTTCAATTCCTGGCCGTTCCCTAGCTTCTTTCGGCTTCTCATGCCTTCCGTCTCCACTTTCCCCCTCCGAAACAGTACTATTATGGTATAGAGAGACTGGCTTTTATTGAAATTAGGGCCTTTCATGCTGGGTTCTTGTGTATATTCTTGTTTGTGATTGACCATATATTTTTCAAGAAAAAAAAACCTGGACATCATCAAGAAAATGCCCAAATCCAAATGTTAGTCCTAGCAATGTGAAAAACGGGACCCCCAGAATGAAAACAAAAATGAGATACTTAAGGTTTATTGACTGCTATACGAAACTTCAGTCGTCGCCCCCCCCCCCCCCGGAAACGTTAAAGAATTTGTCTTCATTAAATTAGTTCTTCCCATCCCCCAAAAGCGGACAATTTCCAAGGGGAGACAGCCTGAAAAACCGGGAACTGTCCCTGTAAAACTGGGACGTCTTGTCACAATATCAGTATAATAGCGATCGGAATTTCAACCCCGTCAGTAAAATACCATGTAAAATTACATACATGTGGGTTGTTCCATTGTCCGTCCGTAGTCCGGGTTGATTAACCTGGATGCTTTTATGTTCGAGATCTTAATTGACCTAGGGCATTTTTAGGAATAGTAAAAACAATTTTATTTATCACTGGGAAACCCATGACAGCCTTGTTTCGAGTGAGACGTTATCCTGGGATCGCCCTGAGACAGTCTCTGGGATTAGTCGAAACGCCGACTTTCACCTCCCTACCGCTGTGAGAAACGCCGCCGGGCAAACCAGTCAATCCCAGGGCTGCTCTCGGACTGTACCAGGTCTAGGTCTCAGTCGGAACGCGTATCCTTTCATCTCTAAAAAATATCATTATTGCACCCTATAGCTTCGTAGATGATAGATTTTTACGCATAGCTGGTGCAGACATACAAACCGAGAAAGACCCAGGTCGGAGCATTATTCCCCTCTGAGTGGAGCCGCCGATAATACCACCGACCCAGTCGGAACTAACTGATAATGGGGGCCAAGGAGCCCTCCCTGAGACGTAAAGGATGGGCTAGTTCAGGAGTTCACTTGTCCATTGAAACCGTGATTGTTCCCTCCGAACACCTTCCACGAATATTGCAAGTTCAGTTGACGGGCTCGTAGCCCGTCAACTGAACTACCCCGAAAGAAGCCTTAAGGACGCGATACCGGATCACGTTAGTTCGACGAAGAAGCTACAATCAGGACATTGAACCACGTCTACTGGAACCACCTTTCATGTGTAAATGTACATAAATGTAGTATTTCTACAGTATAATAAACCTATTCCGACATTGAAGGCTGTCGTTAGGTACTGTACTGTTGAGCTGCCTTGCAGCCCCTGACAATAAGACAAACCCTTGTGATCCCTACAAAAGTAAGGGTCAAGTCAAGTAAGTCAAGTAAGGGTGAAGTCGATGACGAACAGTATGATACCAATCGGTATGGGTTTCAATCGCTGCACGCATGCCTGTACTGTTCGTGTCGAGAGATCGAGACCTTGGTGGTCCGATATTGTAGAGCGGATGCGCGATAGCGTAACGACCGGCCTGATCATCGTCATATTATGCCCATAGAGAAGACAGGGAACAGGCCCGGACCGGAGCTTTAGTTTTCTTCTTCAGTTTTGCAGCAAGCAAGAGTGCGTTCAAAGATAAACCGGAAAAAAACCCTTAGAAGTGGGAAGCCCAGCTCAAGGCCATAGGAACTGGAAGCGGGGCAGATTCCTGTGTGAATAAAATTAATATCCGTTCTCGGTGCCATTCCCAAAGAGCGAAGAAAGAAAACGTAATGCAGTCGCAGTGGCTTTGCAGAGCTTCGTCGTGCCGTCGCATCTGCATATGCAGCTGTCTTTACCTGTGCATTTCACAGAGGTTTCACAAATTTCTTGCACTTCCAGTTGGTTTGCTTATCCTCAAATTTCTCTCCCTAGTACCTCCCTGGTGTCACGAGTGCTGTTACTGCTAGCCACTATCTCGGCTTCTTGGACGATGGAATGTCAGCAACTGAGGCATATAAAAAAATTTAATCTGCCACTCCAATCAAACTTTGCACGTATCATGCAAAAAGGAGTAGACATTCGTTGATGACAAAACTTTCCCAAGTGTGAAATGGAAACGTAGTGTTTATGGTTTCCAAACCAAATTTCTACCTGTTCACTCGTTTCCAATATGAAGCTGGGTGTTTCAGTCGATTGATAGAAATAAAACAAGAATGAGGAAGAAATAAAGTTGCTATATTCGAATTTGTCCGTAGTGGAAGAAAAAATAGAATTTTAAAAAAGCCCTTGATAAAAACACCGGTCCCATGGTTACACACATGTGATAAAACAGAAAGACTCAAGTCGCAATATTGTCTGCATCACAAAATCGCTGATTAAGCTATTTTGGTTGAACTTCGCGTCGAGGAAAGATGCCACCGGGAACAAAGAATTCTAACATGCAGTTAAAATTTGACATAACTTAAGTCTAGAGTAAAAATAAGAATATTTTTTTAAGTCAGAGTTCCACTCACATTTTCACAAATGAAAACTTTGTGAAATCATGAATATCCTGATTCTTGAAGGCACGAGCAGTAAAATTGATTGCGATTTTTTAAAGCAGCTTCATGGGGAGTAGAAGAGCCAGAGCATGCCATCTATCCCTCTGTAGTCCTCTCGCAAATCTGTTCCGGTAAGTTTAAATGCATGGCAGATTTACCATGTCTCCACTAAAGGTCATTAGGGATGCTCCACTTCGATGGCTGTGAAGGACGAGAGGATCGACCATCTCGGATCCATGAATCGCGTGTTTTGGCACCCAATTTTTTTTAAATCTCATTCCTTCATAAAACTTTTTGAAAGGTGTGATACTTGAACGTGCATCCAGTTGCGTCGTTTACGAATGGTATCTTCTTAGTTTCGCCAGCGATATTTGATAAATATATTGGTCAAACTTGTGTTGCATCACTAGTGGCGCTGAAGAGGATAATATACCTGTGCCAGAAGTAAACAAGGCTTATACATCGACTAAAACCAGACCGCCCTGCGACGAAAGCAAAGGTGGACAACGTGAGAGCTGGAATAATTCTGCCTCGCAGCAGAATTCCCTTCTGGTCTACCTTGTTTTTCTAGTATTGCAAATTAGTACAGAGCTGCATCTGAATGCGGCAGTCCCAAGCAGAATATGGCACAAAACGCTATCGCAAAGAAAGACCGAATGAATTGAAGCAGCAGGACTTGATTAATGTTCTGAGGAATTTTGGAATTTGAAACTAATATGAAATTATAACCACAACCATGGTATTAAGTACACGGTATCTTAGGCAGAAACTTTGTTTCTGCAACGAATGATAACTTTTTAAATCGCGACGCTAAATATCAAATTTATCATTACGACATGCTGTCTCCTCAATACCAACGAACCAAGCGACGAAAATATTAAATAAAATGAAAAAGTACCAGAAAGCTTCAAGGAACTCCCCACGCTTATGAGGTTAAGGAAAGGAGCTACGTGAGAACATCCAAGGCCAACTGAGAAAAAAAACTGAAAGGGAAAAAAAAAACACCAAAGTAACGATAAGACAGAAAGAGGGCCAGTGAGGAAGTTCTCACTCTATGAGGCAGCCGAGGCGCACCCAGAGCACTGCTCCATTGTCTTCATCTTCCTCCCCGCTGGCTCATATGACTGCAAACTAGGATCCCGTTTCCCCTCCTTGCAGTCCTCACATTATTGGAGTGGAGTACCCCTATTACATAACAGTGAGGGTAGAGAAGAAGCTACTATCCCTTATTCCTCCCGAAAATGGCTCTAGCGAAGGAATTTAGAATATGCCAACTATGATGATATCTGTAGATGACAGGCGATGACACAACTCGACTCTTGCCAAGTACCCATACTCGCACACCTGGACACACTATCACAGAGTCCTTCGGCATTGACTTACAGAAGGGAGTGTGGCATGCTCCTTTCATCACTCCATGAAGCCAACTTAACAGCGCCTTGGACAGTTTCATGCAATGCTAGATTGCATTCTAATCTGAACGTGAAGAACACGGCGGCAACGTCGAAGAATCCTTGCAAGTCCAGCAACACGATCCGATCATTTACAAGGTTCCGATCACCGGACAACCCGAGGAGGGCCTGGGGCCACCACAATTACAATGGAAGCTTACTTCCTAGAGGGCATTTAAGAAGAAATCTAAGTGAAAGATGAAGCAGAGAACCGTTTTCGTCGAAGCCCGTCAGCGACCCATGCCTAGGTGCATCAGTTTCCTGTACCGACCCGGCCCGTCCCAGTACCCTCTGCAAACAGACCGAAATCACCTTATAAAAACGTATTAAGCTTCCCTAGTAGCACATAACGTTGAGTCAACGTTGAATTCATGTTGTTTCAATGCTATGTGCTACTAGGGTTATGGGTGCCGAGTCAGCCCATTGGGCACAGCAATGTTATGTCAACATTGAGCAGAGGTTGATTTTTCAACGAGACAATGTTGCCTCAATGTTGTGCAAAAAGCTGCCTTGATGTTGAAGCAATGTTGAAATGAAACACATGAATATTGAAAATACATTGGACCAGCGTTGAATTCCTAACGTTTGAGCATTACTGTATCTCCTCCATTTCCTGAGTATAAACGAGCACTAATATCGTTTAGATGACGAGATTTTATGCACATTAAATTGATGAAAGTACTCTGTTAGGTACCGTTATCCCACGGTGAGATCCCTCCGAAGGACCAAGGAATGATATCCTGGCGGGATGGTTGTACTTTATTGAGTACCAGCAACGCGGGGTAGTCCCGCAAAAGTTATATTTCCTTTTTTGAATCAGAGCAAGTTGAGTACTTGAGTGACAAAACTTTTTTTGCCCAACAGAAGAATTGTATAACTAGCGTTATACCCAAACTTCGGAGGGGTGCCGGACACATACCCATGCTCTATTCCTCTCGGACGAGATCTAAGAACTTAAGGCCCGTAATGAGCGCCATGTAGAGACTTAGGAAATTACTGCATATTTCCTCGGACCAGCTGACCAGTTGTACTTGCAGTCTCCTTCTGCGGGGTTACCTCTTTAAACGGGTCTGTCTAGGAATTCCAAAGCATTCCCTTAAGTTGCTCGTGGGAAAATATCGGGTACTACGGGAAAAACACAGCGGAATCATTCCATTGGCACCAGCGTGAGAATCGCTAAATCGGAGCTTAGCCGCCATCTCGCGCCTATCGGTAGAACCTATTTAAATGTGGATGTCTCAACCACGTCTCAACGTTTCAACCTTTTATCGATGTTGACACAACGTTGTTGTGCCGAACGGGAGACCATTCGAAGGGACGCCTTACGTGAGAAGCGCCAGCCAGTAGAGATGCGGCATGAAATCCCTCTTGAGATGGAACGGGAACCGCATCGGCTTTCCTTGGTTAAACGGGAACGTCTCGAGCGGTTCCCCGTCGAAGTCGAACTCGGCCAAGATGCACTTGTCGAACCCTAGAATCAACACACCGCTTACGTTTCGGGATCGTTTAAATCTGAAAAGACATGTGCCAAGGTGACAAACTGACCGACGAGCAGCGGGCAGGAAGAATATCCGTCGTAGAGGGGCTTCAAGGCCTTCCCTTCCATTTGGAGGAACAGGTTCTTCTTCAACACGCGCAACTGCTCGGCTGCAACAGATGATAGGAGGCGAATAGTCATGCGCGTAAAGGGGGATCGGGATTGGATGCCACTCGTGGTGGATCTTGCCGTCTCTGCCTCATGAAATCTGAGAGGTTGTTGTTTACGCTCCATAATTTATTTTTACAGTATATAATCAGTCTCGGCTACATCTCCAGCATTCGACTGACTTTTGAGAATCGGTATCCTGGCTACAGAAAGCCTTAACGCGTAAAAATGAAGAAATGTGCATTCCACGCTCGAGAATACGAGGACGCAACCAAGGAAAAAAGCCTCACAGATAGCAGCGACCGTCTTCGCAGTGGGGAGGTTGGTGCAATCACCGACGCCGAAGATGTTAGGGTACTTTTTATGCTGGAGGGTGTTTCTGTTTATGTCCAAGAAGCCTCCCTGGTCCACCAGTTTCTCGCACGTTCTCAGCACCTCCGGGGTGCTCATCGGGGGGGTCGCATGCAGCATCTCGTACTGAAACATCGTTCAAAGAACGTCAATGGAAGGCGAGTTAAAATGCAAGCAGATGTCTGGTAGTTTCCTTGTCGGTGGGGCAACTAAGTTAAGTCCCTTATAAGGCTAGAGATGGCAAAAGTCATGTCGCAAGTTCCTGTGCTTCCTCTAGCCTTATCATCACCTTCCTGGATTATCTTTCCAATATCGGGCATCAACACAACGAAATTGAATGTAATTAGACAAAATTGGACAATATTGGTCGATGTACAGTATCTAATCGAAATTCAAGCAGATAATGAAAACTATGTCGACTTACACCCCATACTGAGCGAATTCCTACAAAAAAATTGTTAAATATAGCCTCGTTCAAGTCAAAATGCCTTGAAGGTCTTGTTGTTTTGCAGTGGAAATCAGTTCCATACACACTTGGTGGCGAGTTGAGCTTGAATGGCTTCACGTAACATTCAATGCTCAGTCCATAATGTGATTATAAGTCGATAACGCTGACAATTGGGAGCTAAAAAATGTTATGTGGTAACGTGGACAGGGCCACTAAGCATATTGTTGCTACATTTATTACATCACGATAATGATCACTGTGCCTCTAGCCCCTATTATCTCCGCCATAGTCCATCCGCCTATACACTTCCCGTGGTTTCACCTCTTCACTACACTATTTTGGGTGACATCATATTTGGTTCTATGTGGAAGACTCGTGTCTTGCAAGAGAGAGAATAGTTCCATACAAAAAACTCAGCTTTATAAATGTGGAATAAATCAAATGACAAACAGACTCGTAGACACGTAAATACATACCCAGACGCAGAAGCACGGACACAGACACACGCAAACACAAACACAGACAGACAAACAGATACACAAATCCACAGATACGAACACACACAAACACGCCAACACGTGCAAAGGTTGCGCTAATTTTCTAGCTCTATAGGCCCCCCGAGACCATGGGCGAATACAGAAATTTTTCATAGGGGGGGGAGGAGGTTCCCAAGTTCCTCAAGTAATTTTCCATAATTTCTCCTGTCGTATTACGTTGAGAAACATTGACGCAATGTGACAGATATTGAAACTTCAATAGTTTTGCAGTGCTGAGTCAGCGTTGTCTTACGGGCTGATGTTTTTACTCATCTTATTCGTAGATTCAGGATTACTTGAATGAATTCATTTGTCACGAGTTCCTCATTGGAGTTAACTTTACAAATCGTTTTCTTCTCAGTTTCTAACAGGTGCTAACGGGTAATTCTCAAATACTGAGATGACAATGAGTCTGAAAATCTGGCTGAAGTTACAGCGCATCCATGAAAGGATTCCTCGTCGGATCATGCATGATAAGACGAATGCGTCTCTCTTCTACAATGAGGAAGAGTTCTTGAAGAGGTTTCGATTTTCCAAGCGGGCTGTTCTAGAAATTGCAGATATTTGTGGCTCTGCTCTCCAAGAAGCAAGTCGAGGCAGCACGTTGTTGCCAATTCAAAGAGTTCTTGTTGCTTTGAGATACTTGGCAACAAATTCATTCCAGCAAGTCATTGCAGATTTGAGAGGTATAGACGTGAGTCAGGCTTCAGTAAACCGATGCATATACTGTATGCTGTGTGCAGAGTCTTGACTGCAAGAAGTACTGCATTCATTTCATTTCCTTCTGCTGAATACGAATCGATCCAAGCAGCTTTCTATCATGTTGCCAAGCTTCCTGGAGTCATAGGTGCGATACAGATCTGAGGGACCTTTGTAGGTTCCTTCGCGGGAAACTGGACTCTCATAGAAATATGGATTGTTTGCCAGCAATCCGATATAGCTTTTTTGGTGACTGAATCAGATTTCTTGATTTCAAGAACTGGAGAGTGTTTCCGAAGGAGAGCTTTAATGCTTCCTTCTCCTTCGTTGTAAAGTTTTCCCTTCTTGACCTTCGGCTCATGTTTGCACCTCATCCTGAGAATATGACAACTAACCGATAAGCAATCAAGCCAATCAGCCCTGACGTGACTCGGAGAGAACTGCATTGATGAAAGTATCATTGTAATTTTAACATTGAATAAAAATAATTAACTTTACACGTTGAGCACCCACCTAGGCCTAAGTTGGTACTCAACGCTAGCACGTAGATAATTATACGAATGGAATCTCTGAGTCTACGTTTGAGAATGCCACGAAGCATAAGCATACTTCAGACAACGCTGTTGAGTAGAGCACTTTTTTCACTTGATCGTGTCACCCATTCTAGTCAAGTGCTATAGCAAGGTTTCAAAAGAATCTGAAAAAAGTGTCGGACTCATAATGAAACAATTGCCATTGCAATCAATACGTAAGCAGAGAACCTCCGACTTCTGTGCATGTGGCTTGGAGGCAGCGAAGATAAAAAAATTTCAGCCCATGCGCTTTCTCCTCCATCACCTCTAAAGGATTCCTTAGCTAAGGTCCCCTTAAGAGATCAACGTGAATACCATTTTTAGGAGAACCCTTACCTAGGGTTCCCCTAACTGTTCCGTTATATTGTTGCTTGGGGGTGACAACTATGGGCCTTATTGCAAGCTCTGTTTTACCAGCCATTGATTTGTTATTTTAGTATAACATTATCAAAATTATACACAGCCAAAGGCTAGAGGAAAATATAATTTTAATGCATTACATTTTTGACCCGACCTGTATGGCATGCACACAGCAAAACGAAGACGTCTCCTCTACTAAACTACCAGCACGTGCTACTGTCCACTGCAATGGATTCCAGGCATCTAAAAGTGAAAAAATGGAAGCTCCCCTACCTACTTAGATTATGATTGGGTTTAAGGATCCCTTAGCTAGGGGAGGAACGTGAATACGAAACATCTAGGGGATCCCTAACTTTCTTGAGTTAGGGGTCCCTTAAGTTAGGGGAGCGACGTGAATACGGGCCCTAATCTTTAATGCAAACAGGCTGAAATTGGCAGTACTTTTCCGTAACCAACTGTTGAAGAGGACTTGGCGGGCCATACGAAATGGACTGGAGAGTCGGATCCTGCCAGCGGGCCGCCAGTATGACACCCCTGCCCTACATGGTAACTGATCAGATACATTTTTTTCTCTTTTGAAAAAAAAATTCAAAATCTCGAAAAGTTCTCAATATTCCAATATGATTTTTAGCATACATGTTCGCCAAATTTTACCAGGGGTTAGCCAAATTTGTTAGGTTAGGTAAATGTTAGGTTAGCCAAATTTTACGGAGATCCCAGCTGACATATTTTTACATATTGAGCTCAAAGTTCAGTGCATCTACTTTAAGACTGCATGTTAGTTTTGATAACACCTACGTATATGGTATCATCGAAAAAAGCGGGAACAGACCTTTACAAAGAGATATAAAGCGTCTCTCTACCCAGACTATAAGAGAGGTTACTACGATATTGAGGGATGGGGGTGCCACTAGGTCACAAAGTAGACAATTCCTTCATAGCCCCTTATCTCACGATGTAATTGACTGAAAGCGATAATATTTCGGATATCTCATTTTCTCAATTGTAAAGATCATTGGTCTAAATTTCATAAAAATCTGAGAGAGTCATGTTTTCTAGTGCATTGATTTGACATGGAATGACCTTGTATGAGCACAAACCAAATGTTACTGCACCCGAGGTTTTTCCACATAGGAGAGGTATAAATAAAGGTCGATGGCTTGGCTTCCGTTGAGAATGTACAGAAAAAAAAAATTTAAGGCAAAAGAAAAAAAAGCGAGTTGGGACGTGGCCAAGTGGGTTGTCATGATCCACAGACTCCAATATGGGAAGCGTGCCACCTGGCCATTACATAAGATCAGTGCCTCGATGAACTCGTGGACCACATCCGACTCACCTGATAGGTTATCTTCTCACTGGGATTGTCGAGATTCTCGAAGACGGCCTCCTTCTTGTCTGACCGAACCTCGACGAGATTACGCCTCACGTTCAACTGGATTCCTTTTTCCTTGACCACGTCCATCAGAGATGCTGCGTACTTTTTCACGCCAAATATCACAGGGAGTGACGTGTTGTACATCACCACTGCTCGCTCTCTCTTCCCTTCCTGTGGGAAATGGAGTCCTATTAAGTATCTAGATCTATCTGGCACCTAGACATATGCATATCTGCAGCACGAAGACTTCAGTTTACGCGTCGGAAGTGCCAGTCCGTCAGGTAGGCGATCTTCTGCGGCGCGCCTGCACACTTCACTGGGGTGTTCGGGAACGTGAAGATGGCATTTCCTTCCTTGAAGGCATGGATGGCTTTACTCGTCTTGGAAACGTATTTTGGGGAATAGTTTGAGCAAACCATGGGGTCCTTCTCCAGGGCTTCCACAAGCCCTGGTACCTGAGGGAGAAATTATGGGAAATTTTAGGGCTCAAGCTGATGGACTTGATGACTCGAGAAGTTGTGGGATCCAGTGACACTCACCAAGTGAAAATTGAGTGCGACGCCCATCGCTATCACCATGTACTCATAGCTGATCTGATCGCCAGAGCCGGTGTGGACCCGCTTGTTGTCCGGATCGAATTTGACCGCCGAGTCTCTGATCCAATGCACCCCCTTAGGCAAGACCGAACCCATCTCCCTCGATGCCTGCTCCAGCTTTTTGAATCCTCCCCCAATCAACGTGAACATCGGCTGGTAGTAATGCAACTAGAGGGGAGAGGCATGTACCACACCGCCATGTAATACACCACCAGGTTCACCACTCGCGGAAGCATCTCAATCATGTGGGGAGAGTCTGGTTCATACGTGCATACGTTCATACTCATCATCGTGCATTTGGATCTGCAGGCATTCAAATTATAGAATTATATTGAATTTTAATGTTTTGGTCAAACATTTTTGCAATAAAAATAAGATTTTTTCGGTCTATGATTCATGATTCTTTTCCGTTGCTTCTCTCTGGAACCAATGTTGATGCATATAGAAGTATAAACCTTCAACAGCGATACATTCGATCCGCACCAAATCAACGTCGAATCAATGTTATGCTCTACCTGGGTTCATCCCCAAAGTGGAAGTCTCGAGAGTCAAATCACACCTTTCATCATGTTCGCCACCGTGTCGATTTATTACAACTACTGATCTCTAAGCTCGAGTGAAAGTTTATTAAGAACTTAGTTCAGACGGCTCCATCTCCGAGTTAGAGCTCAGGTTTCGGGAGAGTTTCATGACTGTTCACACTAATAAATTGGCCTGATCTATCGTGCGATGGATTTCGTGTCCTCTCCAGTCCCAGATCGTGCCGCGCACTAATTGCTACTTTTAGACTGAAGAGTTCTTGAACGGTTCATCCACGCTTTATTTTTAGGTCACGACGCGACGGTGAGAGAAAAAATGTCGATTCCACCTGACCCTCTGCTCTAGATGTGAAAGAGCGACACGGTATAGCGACACGGAAATGGCGACACGGAGTGGCGAAACAGTGTGCAGGCTTTCCACGTCTGAGATTCGATCCCCAATCAAGTTCCAGTGAGTACCTCAAATCTCGGAACAAGTAACGGGTGCGGCAAAATAAATAGCAGTGTCAGTATCCGTCAATATCAACGGGATTTGTTAGCGGCATTACCTTTCTTCAACCCCTTCCGGCGACAAAATTCAACCGTCTCGTATTCCTCTCTGAGAGCATCAACAGGAACGAAATTTGGCATGCTTCATTCTCTCTCAAGACAGAGAGGAAGAAGCATGCCAAATTTGGCCAATTCGCATGCTCCATCTCCCCAGGGTTGTGATGTGATTTCCATTCCGGTATTTTTTTTCCCTCCCCCCTGGGAAGCCACTCCTGGGTCGTTTTCTGAGGAAAGAGACCAACTTAAAGAAAGACAGACTTGTAGGTGACGAAAAGTGTCCTATTTGTTGCTTCCAGAGCACCATTTCACCATTAAAAAAAATGAAATGAGATATCTTGCCGTTAACTTAAGCTTAGCGTGATGGCTCCGGTCCTGTCCTCCAGTGTTGTCGGATGTCGTGCCGGAGTTACGTCAGACCACAAGAATGATTAAGGAGGTTAGGGGACTATCATACGAGAAGCGTT